ATAACAAAAGCCTAAAACTTGTGTAACTACTTTCAAAACTAGTTGGTGAGCTTTGCAAGCTGGAAGGACCTCGAGAAGGTCACTAGCAAAGGCCTAGTGAGCCCTGAGAAGGCTCTAGAAAAGCCTTAAAGGGGAATGAGTAAAATAGCATCAGAAGCTGCAGAAGAGAAATATGAAGCGGCCGGAAACCTAGCAAAACCACTGCCTGTGGTAGGAACAAAAAATGCTGGTAACAAACTGTTTCTTCTAGCCAAGATATTTTCCAAGCAGAATATCTAAAGTGTCAACTGGTTTCTTTTACATGTATAGAACAAGGTGCAGATAGAGATAAGCTAAGGAAGAAAATACTTGTTTTTGAGCAGAATTCAGAGGAAATATAAAATAGTCAGCAATTGCTGGGTTCAAAATAAAACTATTTCTCATCCACCATCTCTCTCAGTAGAGAACGCTCAAAGCAAGAAAAGGTCCGAGAACAAAGGTCAAATACCAAGGTGCAGAAAGAAACCTAGCTCATGGCAGAGATGAAGCCAAGGGTGTTCCTTAAAATCCTTTGCTAACAGTTTCTCTCATGGCCTCTCCTTCTTGACCTTCTTTCCTGTGCCTTTTTCTGCACTTGTCCATTAAAACTAAATGTCCCCAGGGAGTTTGTCTTCAATCCTAAGCAATTCCTTTTTCAAATACCCCTAAATGCTATTAACCTCAAAAACCTCTCCTTCTCAAGCCCCCACCTCACTCCAAGAACTGGAAACAGATCTGCACATCTCCATTTGACTATCTCAGGGAAACTCAATGTTTCAAACTCCTACCTTCCACCCTATGAGTTCCTTTTATACCTAAACATGCACTGGGAAGAAATAGCATTACCAAGCATTTAACTGCCCAACCTGGGAGTCATCCTTGATTTCTGCCCTCCCTCTCCCACCTTCTCACCAAGATCTAATCAATGATCAATTTCTATTGATTCTATCTGCTAAATCTCTTTAGAGTAAAGCCTCTTCAAGTTATCTCCTGTATGGATTATATAGCCTTGCAAATTGCCTCTCCATTCTAAAATATCCTTCATTCTACTCCAACACCATCCTCTACTTAAAATACTTACATAGCTCCCTACCAAAACTCTTGGCAGCTGGGCATGGTGTACCTGTAGTCCTGGCTACTCAGGAACCTAGAATTTGAGGCCAGCCTGGACAATGAGTAAGACCTAATCTCACAAAAAAAAATAAAAAAAATCCCCTTTGACACAGACTTTGTGATCTGGTCCTCCCTCTGAATTGCCACCACATGCCATTTATCCAACCATGACTATACATATATATATTGAAAACTTAAGACACACAGTGATTAAGAGTTCATACTTTTCTCTCAGCCTAGAATGCAGTGTCTCCTATTATGAATACTAGCTACTTTTCTGGGTATTCATTTAATCCAACAACTACAGAGCTCCTATTCTATGGCAAATTGAGCAGGCCCCATGCCAGGACTACACATACAAAAATTTATAAGAAGTAGGATCTTCCTCTCCTCTGGGAGCATACAGCTTAGAAAGAAGGAAAACATGGGAATTTATAATGGAAGGTATCCAGGTGATGTACATTAACTCCTTGAAGGGGGCATAGAGATGTGGCAGACAATGAGCAAAACGACAGAATAAGTAATAGTACATTCTCTTAATGTAAGTAATTGCAAAGATTTTAAATATAGTACTAATAATATTCTTATTGTAAGTAGAACACAAATTTATGTGAAGGATGCAATAAAAGACTTAAGAAATTCATGAGCCATTTTGGGCAAGAGTGACTGTCCAGAACTAGAAGTTAAAGTAGCATTACTAGCAGAAAAGGAGCTACTTTTAAGTCACAGGCCCTCTTAGAATTGAGCAAATGACACTATATAAAGGGACTTTGGCTTACTTACCCAAAAAGCCAACCTTAGTTTGATAAACATTCAGTGAAGCACCTGAGTAGTCAAAAAATATTCTGTAAGACCCTTTGCTAAAATGAGCCTAAATTTCTATCTGGCCTCTTTCGGGAGCTTTAGAATGTATCCATTTGGAGGCCAGAATAAAGTTATTATGCTATTATGTTAAGGAAGTCTAAAAGGCACAACTAAAGTCTACACTGGCTCCAATTCCTGCAAAGATACAAGATTATCATAGTTGCTGATTCCCTCCCAAAATATCAGCCCTAGGAAGTTAAAACAGGAAAAACAAAGAGAACTGTGGGACACCAATGGGAAAACTAGGGCCCATTTTGAATGGTGACTTTGGCCTGAGACAAGAGCCAGTCCAGCAACACTGTCAACAACAAGTCAGAAAAAGAACTACAGAGGCTCCGTTTTGCTTCTCTTGTGTTACTGTACACAACCTGGCCCCACAAGTGCATTACTCAAACATCTGGTCTCAGATCTTCAGGAAAATAACTAGAAGCTGAGAAAAACAACTGGCTACACACTAACCTTCCCTGATTGCTGCTTCACATTCCCTCTGTCAGCACAAGGACTATAATCAGAGCACCTCCTCCTGAGGCAGCTTTCTTCTCAGGAGAAACAGTTCAGAAAGTGGCCTGGGGTTCTACTGTGTGGGGTGAGAGAAATTAATGCAAGCTCTCTGAGTCCAGGCTCTCCAACTCTAGTTCTTGCTAATAAAGGAACGGATATAAACCTGATGTTTTCCACATAGGCAGTGTGCCTAAGACAGAAAACTATCAAGTACCAGAGAATTTATCAGTCTGCTTGACTATCATAACAAAAGGTGGCTTAGACAACAGAAATTTATTCTTTCACAGCTCTGGAGACTGGAAGTCAAAGATCAAAATGCAGCATGGTCAGGTTCTGATGAGGATTCTCTATCTGGCTTCCAGATGGCCACCTTCTGTGTCTTCTCATGACAAGGAAAGAGGAAGAACAAGCTCTCTGGTGCCCATTCTTCCAGAAGTACTAACCCCACTGGACCAGGGCCCCATTTTCATGATCTCATCTATTCTGTGTTATCTTCCAAAGACCCGGCTTCAGTAATCCCTGCTACCTAAGAGGTGGAGATACGAGTTTTGCAGTCCAAGGACAGCCCCAGGCAAAAGCACAAAATCCTATCTGCAAAAAGGGTAGGGGGCATACCTCCAGTGATACAGCACTTCTAACAAGTGCAAGAGCCTGAGTTCAAACCCCTATACTGCAAAAAGAAAAAAGAAAAAAAAGGGGCATCAGGGAAACCAGATCCATGAGCTCATCAAATACATCAGACCAATGAATGATGCAAAACCCTCACCTGAATCATACAAAAGGAAGAACAGCTAAGGCTGTGGCAAGGAAGCAACAACAACTGCCATCTTGTCAGACCACCCAGTGAATACCTTGTTTTCAGAGTGCACTGGACTCATAAAACTACTCGAACCTTTTGTTGGTGATTTCCTCAGCAGTGAGAGGTCCCCCACCTCAGTGCCAGTATACCTGACAGCAGAGATCTTGCACTTCCTCAGACTTAGCCACATGCTGATTCTAATTCAGTCAATGATTAAATACTTTCCTTTTGGACCTTTAAAAACATTGGCTACCCAGACACCTAGAAGCTCTTTCTGTCTTCAGCTCAGCATCTGATGCAGATAATGAAATATTATTTAGCCACAAAAAAGTAATGAGGTATGGACATGTGCTAAAACAAGGATGAACCTTGAAAACTTTATTCTGGTAAAAGAAATGGGTCACAGAAAACCATACAGTATATGCTTCTGTTAAATGCAAAGTCCAGAATGGACAGTTCAGGAGATTCCAGACAGAAGGGAAGAAGTCGTGCTAACTACAAATGAGTACTTGGAAGAATGATGCAAATATTTCAAAATTATATTGTGGTCTAATAGTTGTACATCTCTGCAAATGCAATAATAATTTGTGGTAAACAAATTATTTCTCAGTGAAGATATGGTCCGAATTAGACAATCATGCTTAGGGCACTAGTAAAATGGAGAAATGGGAGAGCACATTATATTGCTCTACAAAGGAGTCTGTAAAATACCCTGGAAGCCTTACAGAGATAGTGAAGGATTCTGAAAATCACAATGACATGCTGACATTTACCTTTTAGAAAAAAAATGTCCTGTTGACAGTGACAAGAATAGCTTAGAAAGCAGCTAGGCTCAAAAGGGAAAGACCAAATTAGAGACTTACAGTGGTCCATTTAAAAAATTCAGAAATAAGAAAAACAAATTTTTAAATGAAGAGGACTTGAGCCAAGACAGTTAAGAAAAGAAAAAGGGCTGTGATCTTATCTTTAGAGTAGAAAGCGATTTATGGAGGCATCCTGCAAAAGCAAGGCTTTCCACAGAAAGCGACTTCAGCATACTACTGGGTATATCCCATTACGTGAGCCCACAACTAGAGAGAACTATAGAAGACAGTCAAGTCTAAGGGCGTACAGTGGCAAAAACCTCTTAGGAACTGGCTTATTAAGACAGCTAGCAGTTGTTTTAGTCTGCGACTTAACTAATCAAGGGTATGTCTTCAAGAATATCCCAGCTATCATCCCAGCTATGTGGGAGGCTATGTAGGAGGATCACAGTCCAGGCCAGCCAGGGAAAAAGCGCAAGACCCTATCTGAACAATCATCGAACCAAAAAGGGCGCCTGCCTAGCAAGTGAAAGGCCCTGGGTTCAAACTCTAGTCCTGCTCCCCCCTCCAAAAAAGAAAAGAAAAGAAAAAGAGTATCAAATTATAATGCCAGAATCTTTCTCAAGTGTCAGAGAACTATAGCATGAACTCTACTTGAGTACAGAAAACAAGGGAAAAACACTCAAAAGTATTTTATTGCTAGTATAAGCTTTATTTCTTTCATTTAATACCCCTCAAAGCAAAAGTAAGCATCCTAATATGTAGCTTTATAGTAAATATTTGCTTACTATTAAAACAGGCAGAGGAAAAGACATTTGTTGTTGCTTTAAATTTTTCAGAAGCAAGTCCTTTTCATTTTAAAATATATTTAAAATGACAACTGCATTTGCAAAATATCTCACCTTCAGCTTTTAGGCAAACCACAAAGAAACGTCTACAGCATAAGTTCCAGTGTAGGCAGCTACCTGAATTGAAGGAAAAAAGGACATGGTCAGTATGACTAAATCTGAGCAGAAAATGTAATTCTTTCAGTAAGAGAACCCTATCTTGATTAGTTATCCCTCAATAAGTTCAAGGTGTTCTTTAGAGGTCTGTAAATACCAAGAATTAAGATCTTCTAGAGTTTCTATTGCCTTTGATTACTTAAGGTTAATGACAATTCTTGATATAAAAAAGCTTATTAGCAAGACAAAAAAACTCACCAGCTCAATTCTTTAAAAAAAACAAAACAAAACAAAAAACTCTATTTTTCTGAACGTTTATAGGTAGGCATGGTAGTGCACTCCTGCAATCCCAGCACTTGGGAAGCCGACACAAGGGAGATCCTGAGTCATGGTCAGCCTGGGCTACAAAGCAAGATCCTGTCACAAAATTTTTAAAATTAAAATTTAAAAAGTCCACATTCCCTTTAATACCACCATCATGAACACCTCCTCACAAAAAGTACAGAATTTAAAAATAAGGAAATGTAAAGGCTGACTGTGGTGGTGCACACCTGTAATTCCAACTGTTCAGGAGGCAGAGATCAAGAGGATTACAGTTCAAGGCTAGCCAGGACAAAAAGTTAGCAAGACTCCAACTCAACCAACGAGCTGGACATGGTGTTTCAGGCCTGTGGTCCCATCTATGTGGGAGGTTTAAGTAGGAGGATCATGTTCTGAGTCAGCCCCAGGGAATAACAGAGACCCTATCTAAAAAATAAGTGAATCAGAAAAGGTTGGGAGTGTGGCTCAAAGTGGCAGAATACATACACAGCAAACACAAGGTCCCAAGTTCAAACCCCAGTATTGCCAGTGGTTTAACTGAGTAGAATATACTCCAGATGTGGGGTTTTTTTATTTTTGATGGGACTGGGGGTTGAACTCAGAGCTTCATGCATGAAAAGCAGATGCTCTACTGCTTGAGCCACACCTCTAGTCCAAAATGGAATTTTTATTGTAATACAACTGAGGTCAAACAGAATTGTGAGGCCTAAGGATAATGTTTATACCACTAAATAGATGTACACATCTCCCCAAAATTCCTACATTGACAACCTGCTGCTATTTGGAGGTGAGGTCTTTGGTGGGTGACTAGGTCAGGAAGGTAGAGTCCTCATAAATGGGATTAGTCGCCTTATAAAAGAAACCTTAGGAAACTTGTTTTTGTCTCTCTTCCTGTAAGGACACAGTGACAAGACACCATTTATGAGCTAGGATGCAGACCTTCACTGGACACTTGTTCTGCCAGTGCCCTGATCTGACTTCCTAAACGCCAGACTAGTCCCCAGGATACACTAACTTCTCATGATATAAAATATCAGGTATACCTATTCGACTGCAGAGAACATATGTGAAGCAAAAACCAAGACAGTACATAAAGTCTTTCCAGAAATGATTTTAAACCAGTGTACTGAGATTAAATCATGATGCTTAATTATAAGAATACGTTGTTTCTCAAGCTTGTATTCAAGAAGTATCAAACTGTTCATAACTTATAAAATACAAATAAAGTTCCTTATTTATGTTAACAGCCATTAATATGTGGTAGAACAATGTGTGTTAATCAGTGTATAGTTTGTAGAGATGAGTCAAATAGTCTCAGACATCAGGGAGTTGTCAAGACACTTAGAAGACAATCTGAAAAAATTATCAAGACTGCAAGAGGCACTATTCACAATAGCCAAGTTATGGAAACAGCCAAGATGCCCCACCACTGACGAATGGATTAAGAAAATGTGGTATCTATACACAATGGAATTTTATGCAGCCATGAAGAAGAACGAAATGTTATCATTTGCTGGTAAATGGATGGAATTGGAGAACATCATTCTGAGTGAGGTTAGCCTGGCTCAAAAGACCAAAAATCGTATGTTCTCCCTCATATGTGGACATTAGATCAAGGGCAAACACAACAAGGGGATTGGACTATGAGCACATGATAAAAGCGAGAGCACACAAGGGATAGGTGAGGATAGGTAAGACACCTAAAAAACTAGCTAGCATTTGTTGCCCTTAATGCAGAGAAACTAAAGCAGATACCTTAAAGCAACTGAGGCCAATAGGAAAAGGGGACCAGGAACTAGAGAAAAGGTTAGATCAAAAAGAATTAACCTAGAAGGTAACACCCACGCACAGGAAATCAATGTGAGTCAATGCCCTGTATAGCTATCCTTATCTCAACCAGCAAAACCCCTTGTTCCTTCCTATTATTGCTTATACTCTCTCTACAACAAAATTAGAGATAAGGGCAAAATAGTTTCTGCTGGGTATTGAGGGAGGGAGCGGGAGGGGGTGGAGTGGGTGGTAAGGGAGGGGGTGGGGGCAGGGGGGAGAAATAAACCAAGCCCTGTATGCACATATGAATAATAAAAGAAAAATGAAAAAAAAAAAAAAAGACTGCAAGAAAAAGAAAGAATTCTAACATTAGCTTTTTGACCCTTAAAAAAATACAATCTGAGCAGATTTTCATTGATTACTTGTACTTTAATTACATACATAGTCGGAAAACATCATCACCAAGACAGTGTTGGTTTCTAAATTCTACAAGCCTTAAGTACCACCAACTGACTAATTCAGAGTCAAACCACAGCCTGGAGCCCAATCTAGCACAGGGCCTGCTTTTGTGTAAGAATGCTTCTTATGTTTTTTGAAAGCTATGAACAAATAAAAATATATAATACAGGCATTCTGTGGCCACAAAGCTTCAAATATTTATTATCTGGTTTTTTACATAAGAAGCCTGCTGACCTCTGAACTAAATAATTAATAAGTAGATGCAACAGTTCCTACTGATGGCTCTGCTCCAGAAATTTAGAGTGTACCATGACATCACTGCACTTCATAACTGGAAGGAAGCTCCAAGAGCGTTTCTCCTCCTCGTCTTATCACAAAGGTAATGACGAAAGCCCAGTGCCCCAGTGTTACAGTCACTGTCTCTGGGCTCAATGCACTTTATAGCTCATCCATCACAACACTGCTGGCTCCCTTCTCTTTTAGTGGAGCATCCTAGCAATGAAGCAGAGGTATGGTTGAACACACAAACTTTTTCCTCCACTCCTTCACACAACAAATCAACAAAGCAAGCCTCTAATGATCTTCCTGTATGGCCAGCTCAGCATCAAGGGTCATTTCCTATTTTCCTAACTCTCTTCATGTCTCTATTCTACTGACATATTCTCCAAACTAAGTAAATGAATCTATTTAGCACTCCTGAGAAAGCAGCATGTTGTTTTTATCTTAAGGACCTTGGTTTACACAGTTTTCTCCTAGGAACAAGCCTTCCTTTCTCCACCTATCCAAATTCTTACCATCCTTCATGGCTGAATTTGACATTCATAATGCATTCAACATGCTTATAATACAATAGATGTTAAAAGGACAGAGGGAAGAAAAGATTGCATTCCAGGCAGTGGAAAGGAAATGAGCAAGGGTACAAAAGGAGCAATTTATCTTGACAAGAATTCTCACTACCTTTTTGTTTCCCTAGACTTGGCTCTAATCATGTGATGTGATGACATATGATGCCCTTGGTTTCTAAGGTCCTTTGCCCACTGATGACACTGAATAAGAAGTCGCCAGGGGCTGGCAGAATGGCTCAAGTGGTAGGGCAAAGATTAAGGCCTTGACTTCAAACCCCAGTACTAACCAAAAAAAAAAAAAAAAAAGAAGCTACCAAAAACCATATATTTGGCATGCTAATGAAGTAATCAATAGTCAAAGTAAATGGGCTATTTTTGCCTAAGTTTTCAGATAGCCTTGGTGAACAAAACTGTAACACACCTGCAAAACTAAATATAAATTCTGTACATTTAAGGCTGAACTGTTATTTTTATAACATTAAGCATACTAAAAGGACTGAAGGTTTTCACATGTTGATTATTTGGTTCCCTTTTTACTAAGTAATTTTATTCTATGCATGGCAACAGTTGGTATTCTGTTTACTCTAAACCAAACACCTATAGGTACTACCTAAATACTTGCTGAATTAATAATATTGGAATACAATACATATTTGATTGAAAATACTCCTACTTTCTAATTATTCAAAGCAATAGGAAATAAAAGATAAGTAACGCTAATTGAAAGTGTTATAAAAATAAAGCCATCAAAAAAACATAAACCATTACTATCACAAAACCATCTCTGAAATTGTTGGCAAGTAACTCGAACCTTTACTGTAGCCTGTTTTAACACTAGACAGACAGACAGACAGACCACCCCCCCATAGAGTCTTTTTACTAAATATACCTTAAGAGAGAAAAATCATATAATTTGATACCCAGAAAAATGCTGCTTGCTCAATTTTTTTATCCCACACAATTCCTAACACACAATGGGTGTTTCAAATTTTTCATTGAGTTGAACAGTCACAGAGGAAATGTTTTCTCTGCTCTCCATATAACTTCACCATATTTCAAAGGTGTGAGTCACCAACTCTGGCAATAAAACCAGAACATATACCAGTACAAATGCTTGACATATTTCAAGAGCTCTCTGAAATGAGAACAGATATGCACAGATGTATTCCCTAACTCCACAAATATAAGATGCATTTTTTTGCTGTTGTTAATTTGCTATATTTAGATGGCTTTGAATTGAATTTTTCAAACATGTACAAATACAACTTTAAAAAGATCCACATACTTGCTGCCGATGGTCTGGAAACAAAAGCTGCTATTCACATAAAAGATGACAGGCAACAGGAATCTGACAGGCCAGTAATTTACTGCGTTTTCTGCACATTTGAATTTGTAGGCCTACATAGCCATTAAGCAAAATTAGTCTCATGAAGTCAGTCAAAAGGCCTTATGGGCAACAGCTTTATGACATTAAGAACTACCATCCTCAATCTATTTGAATCTGGGTTTGCTCATTAGAAGCCTCTCCGTGAATCGAGAGGTTTAACTGCACTCCTCCTATCAGTGTTTAGTAATAGCCCTGAACTACAACAAATGCCCATACCCCCCCTCCTCCTTTTCCCATGT